AAAACTACAATATAATACGGTTTGGTGTTGGTATAGGAAGGTATTATATGAGGATAGACAGACTCATCAAAGAGAATAGAGAGTCCAGAAGCATATCCATGAATCTAGGGATGCTGTATTTATGAAACATGTGACACTGCAGAGCAGTAAGAAAGGAACAGTCTTTTCAAATTCTGGGACAATTAGCCATTTATTAATAGAAAAAAATGAAACTTGATCCTTACTTTCCACTCTACACAAAAAACGTAATTCCATGTGGATTATAGATCTAAACATTAAAGTGAAAAAGAAAGCTTGTAGAAAATAACATAGGAGAATATTTTACTCTAGGACACCCCGCCCCCCCACACACCCCCACATACAAACCACCATAAAGGAATAGATGGGTAAATTTGAGTACATTAAAATTAGGAACATTTGTTCATCAAGTGACAGCATTAAAAGAATGGGAAGGCAAGCCACACAGGGGGAGAAGGTATTTGCAACACATGCAACTAAAAAGAGCTTATATACAGAATATTCTAAAAGAAAAAAATTTTAAAACCTCCCACAAATCAAAAAATAAAAATATGGGTAACTCAATAGAAAAATTGTCCAGGTATTTCACCAAAAACCAGCCAGTGAACATATGAAAAGTATTCGGCTTCATTAGTAATTAGGAAAACACAAAATTATATACTACACATCCACATTTAAAAGACTGACATTTAATAATACTGAATATTGCCTAGAATTGAATGGAACAACAGTTATATACTAGGGTAAATTTGTACAATGTCGCTTTGGGAAATAATTTGTCAATTTCTTCTACAGCTGAACATATGTATACTCTATCATCTAGCAATTCTATTCTTAGGAATTTATCTAATAGAAATGCAAGCATATGTGTACTAAAGACATTTACAATGTTGAGTGATAGAAGTCAGACACACAAGAATGCATAGTAAACAATTCCATTTATATGAACTTAAAAACTGTCAAAACTATGGTGTTAATAGTTAAGAGGAGAGAGGGTGTAGTGATTGGGAAAGGTGTGAGGAGGATAATGTTCTATTTCTGGATCTGGGTGATAGGTAAATGGGTGTATTCACTTTGTAATAATTTTTGACCCAAATATTTGTTTTGTGCATTTTTTCTATATGTGAGTGATGTGTCAATAAAAAAGATTTTTAAAATAAAGCCAAGCTTCTTGCCCCCATGGACTTTGTATGAGGACCTGTGCTCTCCTCCTTGTTTGCTGGCTTCAATCTCAGGCTTCAAGTGGTGATAAGTGGTGGAAAGATGGTTGCCAACAGCTCCTAGTCTACAACTCCTCACATTTAAACCAGCAAAAGCCAAGGTATACTTGTTTTACAAGCTCAGCAAAAGTCCCAGATTGGCCGGGCGTGGTGGCTCACGCCTGTAATCCTAGCACTCTGGGAGGCGGAGGCGGGAGGATTGTTCAAGGTCAGGAGTTCAAAACCAGCCTGAGCAAGAACAAGACCCCGTCTCTACTAAAAATAGAAAGAAATTAATTGGCCAACTAAAAATATATAGAAAAAAATTAGCCGGGCATGGTGGCACATGCCTGTAGTCCCAGCTACCTGGGAGGCTGAGGCAGGAGGATTGCTTGAGCCCAGGAGTTTGAGGCTGACACCACGGCACTCTAGCCTGGGCAACACAATGATACTCTGTCTAAAAAAAAAAAAAAAAAAAAAAAGTCCCAGATTGCTCACTGGTCTGAGTCAAGCATGAGTCCCTGACCAAATCACCACTGACAATGTGAGGCTCTAACTGGCCAGGCCTGAATGACAGCAGATCCCTGACGCCAGAATCAAATGGAGTCAACTTCACCAGAACACATAAAATAAGAATGGGGAAAGATGTTGTTCTCCAGAAAACAAAACAAAACTGTGACCTCATTTCAGAAGAGGAAATAAAAGCAGGTTGAAAACCCAACAAATGTCTATAACAAGTCGCGTGCAAGTGAGAACCCAGATTTGCTACTTCATGTTAGGCCGACTTCCCTTTTAATCTCTTTCATTTTATCACATGTCTTGGAGATTTGGTTTGCCTACCTCTTCCACCCCTATCATGATTGCAAATGGACTCTTTTCTTCTTCCCTTTGGTCAGCCAAGAAATAGGGTACTCCCTTCTACTCTATGTGTATTTTTCTGACTTTGAAATAAGACAAAAACAATCAACTAGACAAATGAAAAATAACAATAAAACAAAAATCCATTTACAGTTTTTTTTGTTTGTTTGTTTTTTGTTTTTTGAGACAGAGTCTCGCTTTGTTGCCCAGGCTAGAGTGAGTGCCATGGCGTCAGCCTAGCTCACAGCAACCTCAAACTCCTGGGCTCGAGTGATCCTTCTGCCTCAGCCTCCCGAGTGGCTGGGACTACAGGCATGCGCCACCATGCCCGGCTAATTTTTTATATATATATCAGTTGGCCAATTAATTTCTTTCTATTTATAGTAGAGACGGGGTCTCGCTCTTGCTCAGGCTGGTTTTGAACTCCTGACCTTGAGT